GATGCCCACTATCACCACTTCTATTCAGCATAGTATTGGAAGTCCTAGCCACAGCAATCATATGAGACAAAGAAATAAAAGGCATCCAAACTGGAAAAAAAGAAGTAAAACTTTCATTATTTGCAGGTGACATAATACTATATATAGAAAACCCCAAATACTCCACCAAAAAACTATTAGAACTAATATATGACTTCAGTAAAGTTGCAATATACAGACTCAATGTACAGAATGCTGTTGCTTTTCTATATACCAATAGTGAACAATCAGAATAAGAAATTAAGAAAACAATTCCATTCACAGCTGCATCAAAAAGAATACCTAGAATGAATTTAACTAAAAAGTTGATAGATTGAAAAATAAAAGACACCAAAGAAAGAAACTAAACAAGATACAAATAAATGTTCATAGATTAGAATTAATAAAGGTACGATGTCTATACCTAAAATAACATACAGATTCAATGCAATCTCTAAGATACCAATAGCATTCTTCTTAGATTTAGAACAAATCCTAAAATTCATATAGAACCCCAAAGACCCTGGATAGCCAAAGAAATATTGAGAAAGAAAAAAGTTGAAGGTAGCATGCTCCCTGATATCAAACTACACTACAAAGCTAGAGTAATAAGAGTATGGTACTGACATACACACGTGCACACACACACACACACACACACACATGAAATAGAATGAAGAACCCAGAAATAAATCCTCACTTTATGTCAATTAGTCTATGACAAAGGAGGTAAGGATACACCATGGGGTAAAGACGGTCTCTTCAATTTGTGTTGGCAAAACTAGACAAGTACTCAAGAAAATGAAACTGGACCACTTTCTTACACAAAAATATACCCCCCAAAAATGGATTAGAGACTTAAATTAAGACCCAAAACCATAAAACTACTATCCAAAAACATAGGCTGTAAATTCTTTGACATTGATTTTTAGTAATGTCTTTTTGGATATATCTCCTTGGGCAAGAGAAACACAAGAAAAAAATAAACAAATGGGACTACATCAAACTAAAAAAAGTTGCACAGCAAAGGAATCCATCAACAAAATGAAAAGACAACCTACTGAGTGGGAGAAGATATTTGCAAATGATACATCTGATAAAAGGTTAACATACAAAATACATAAGAAACTCATACAGCTTAACACCCAAATAATCTGATTATAAATGGACAGAGGACCTGAACAGACATTTTTCTGAAGAGGACATATATATGGCTAAAAGACTTATATAAAAGATGCTCAACATCACTAATCATCATGGAAATGCAAACTGGAACCACAATGAGCCATCAAATTACACCTATCAGCATTCTGTACATTTATTTATCATCAATAAATCAAATAAAAAGTGCTGACAAGGGACAAGAAGAGATAAACCAAAGAACTTATACACTTAGATGTATAGCCCATGGATACAGGCAATAGGTTAGTGAAGACCTGAGGAGATGAGAATGGCCTGGGAGGAGGAGGGGGAAATGGGAGATATCTATAATACTATCAACAATAAAAAATATATTTAAAAAAATACTGACAAGGATGTGAAGGGAATCTTTATACACTGTTGTTGGAATTGTAAATTGGTACAGCCACTATGGAAAGCAGTATGAAGGATCCTCAAAAATTTAAAAATACAGCTGCTATACGATCTACCAATTCCACTTCTGGGCATATCCAAAGAAAACAAAAACACTAATTCAAAAAGATATTTGCATCTCTATGTTCATTGCAACATCATTTACAAAATAGCCAAGAGATGAAAACAAACTAGATCAACAGATAAATAAAAATGTGGTATAAATATACAATGGACTATTATACAGCAACTAGAGGCCCAGTGTATGAAATTTGTGCAAGGGGAAGGGGGGGGGCTCCTCAGCCTGGCCTGCACCCTCTCCAATCCGGGACATCCCTCTAGCAAACCAGGACCACTGGCTCCTAACCACTCACCTGCCCTGCCTGATGCTTGCCTGCCTGATCATCCCTAACCCCTCTGCCTGCCAGCCTGATCGCCCCTAATAACCTCTGTCTGCCGGCCTGATCGCCCCTAACCACCCTCCCCTGCCAGCTTGATCGCCCCTAATCACCTCTGCCTTGGCCCCCGCCACGGTGGCTTAGTCCAGAAGGAGGACCGGACGACCAGAATATGTCCGCTCGACCTTGTCTAATTAGCATATTACCTTTTTATTAGTATAGATAAAAAGAATGAAATTTTGCCATTTGCAACAACATGAATGGACCTAGAGGGTATTATGCTAAGTGAAATAAGTCAGAGAGAGAAAAAAATTTGTATTATTCCACTTATAAGTCAAATCTAAAAATAAATTAACAAAATAAATGAATAAACAAAACTAAACAGACCCACAGATATATAGAACAGGCTGATTGATGGATGCCAAGGGGGTGAGGATAGGGGATGGGAATTTTAAAAAAGAAATTTACGCTAGAAAATTGAATCAGAAAAAAAAAATATTGTAAACTCTTAAAAAAAAGTTACATCCCTATGTTCCATTCCTTTAAATTATTCTTCCCAGTTATCAAAACTAATATTTTCAAATAGAAATGTCCCATCTTTTTCCAGAAGAAAGTTTTGCTACTTATTGTCAAATTGCTACCACTTATCTGGAGAGAAATTTATATTCCCCAAAGCAATGTGTAAGAATGTCTATCTCATGTTATTCCTCTAGCACTGAATACTATCTTAAAAATGATTGCACATATTCCATTGTTACAGATTGCTTGATTTGTATTTTTTTTTTATTACCAGTAAGTCTGGACTTTTTTTGCACATATTTTGGAGATATTACCTCCATGTAGACTTATGTGTATTACCCATATTTCTACCTAGAGTGTTCATCTTTTTTTTAAAAATATATTTTATTGATTTTTTACAGAGAGGAAGGGAGAGGAATAGAGAGTTAGAAACATCGATGAGAGAGAAACATTGATCAGCTGCCTTCTGCACACTCCCCACCGGGGATGCGCCCGCAACCAAGGCACATGCCCTTGACCGGAATCGAACCTGGGACCCTTGAGTCCGCAGGCCGACGCTCTATCCACTGAGCCAAACCGGTCAGGGCGAGTGTTCATCTTTTAAAAAATTATTCATAAGAGTATACTGATATTTTAATTAAACATTGCATTAAACTAAGTATCATATATTTTATTTTGCTTTGCTGTTAGTTTAATTTTAGATGTCTTTCCAATCAAGTGAAGCGCTGCTCTTCCTCTTACAATTTCATGAGCAAAAAAATCAATTAAAAAAATTAGGCTGAGGCAAAGACTGCACCTAGGAAAATCACATCAACTCTACTCCCAAACAGGTGGTAGCAACTGGGGACACCTCTTCCCACAGCCAATGTTCTACCAGGTACTGATCCAGAAATAAGATCTTGATTGGCGGCCTCTCTTATTCATACATTTCCTAAGTAACAGGATTTTTTGTTGTATTTTGAGTTTGGCTTTTTACATGTTCCAGTGGTCCTGGCCTTGGGGATTCAACTGTGAAAGGAGATAATGCTGGTGTAGATCCACTACCATTCTCGAGTACGTTACATCTTCACACACCTTTTGTTTCCAGGCATTCCGGTGTTGGCAGCCCTCTTAGCACAAAAATTCTGCTTGGATGTATTTTCACTTACACACGTGTAACTGTTGATAAGAACAAAGCTGCCTGTCACAGCTGTTAAACAATCAGTGCTGGATGACTCTGCAAGTGCCCTTTCTACACGGGTGTGGGGTAGAGTGTGCACATTTACACTTCTTTGGCATCACTAAATCCCCTTAGAAGAATGCTTTGATACGAGTGGATTTTTTGCAGTGACAAGAAACATACTTGAGCTTTTTTCTCTCTCCATTTCACAGCTCTTGACTGCCAGCCATGGGCAGAAGTCACCATTTGTCACCACTTCTTCAGCTAAGAAATGCTCCTTTCCAAAATCCTTTGGCAGAATCTCCCCGAGATCTGTTTTTCTGCTCCTTCCTAAATTAGCAACAGTCTTCAAAGAAAAAAACAAAACAACTGACAAGTCAATATGAGAAGAAACTGGCTCTAATTTTGCATTTTTTCATGGAAAGTTTCAGAGTTTATTATCTATAACCAATAAAAGTGGACAAGAAAATTTGCAGGAAAAAGTAAAAAATGTGTATACACATAAGAGCATATTGTTCTTTATTCAAGAAGCAACACATGATACAAATTCAAGATTTTATTAAAATCATTTGTAAGTTAAGTTAACATAATATTTCAGTGGTGCAGGGACTTTTTAATAACGCAAAAGAATGAGTTATGTGAATAAACAGAAGAGTGAACAGTGTTAACTGTGACATTAAATGATTACATGATTTAATTATTCTTTGGATAACAAGCAGCTTTGTGAACATCTATTCAAGGAACTGAAACCTGTGCCTACTATGAAATTTGCAGTTGAATTAGAGCTTTGTTTCCTGCCTTTGGTAATTTTAAGGAAACAAATGGGAATGGTTTTAAGAACTTATAAAAATCTACCACCTACCAAAAGAAATTAAAAGGTAAGGCGGAAAACACTAGGAAGAAAAGTGCCAACCCCTCGCAACCCCCATGCAGCTGAAAATCCACATATAACTTCTGTTGTTGTTCATCCTCACCTGAAGCTATTTTTCCATTGATTTTTAGAGAGAGTGGAAGGGAAGGGGAGACAGAGAGAGAGAGAAACATCGATGTGAGAGAGACACACTGACTCTCGCACACACCCCGACCAGGGCTGGGGATCGAGCCTGCAACAGAGGTATGTCCCCTTGGCTGGAATCGAACCCAGGGCCCTTCAGTCCGCAGGCTGACGCTCTATCCACTGAGCCAAATCGGCTAGGGCAGTGGTCGGCAAACTCATTAGTCAACAGAGCCAAATATTAACAGTACAACGATTGAAATTTCTTTTGAGAGCCAAATTTTTTAAACTTAAACTATATAGGTAGGTACACTGTTATTAACTTAATTAGGGTACTCCTAAGGCTTAGGAAGAGCCACACTTAAGGGGCCAAAGAGCCGCATGTGGCTCGTGAGCCGCAGTTTGCCGGCCACGGGGCTAGGGCCACATATAACTGTTGACTCCCCCCAAATTTAATACTAATAGCCTACTTTTGACCAGAAGCCTTACCAATCACATAAACAGTTTAACACATATTCTATATGGTATATGTATTAATACTGTATTGTTATAATAAAGTTAGAGGAAAAGTCTCATTAAGAAAAATCATAAGGAAGAAAAAATACATTTACAGTATTTATGGAAGAAATTCCATGAATAAGTGGACCCGTTCAGTTCAAACCAGTGTTGTTCAGGGGTTAGCTGTATTTGTTTGTGGGACAGAGCAAGAGAGAACAGAAGCAATAATGAAAAAAGAGACCAGAAGTCCAGGTCATGCGAACCCCTTACTTATTCTTGGCTGTCAGGGGTTTCCGGCTGATCTTTTTCGATTTGTCATTATTTTTCTTCGGTGGTTCTGGATTTGCCTGCATGTGTCTGCCGTAGAGACTGAAAAGAAAGAGAGAAACAGTGAGATCTCCCTTCCTAATGCAAGACATGCTTGTACTTGTAGAGCTTTAAACAACAGATTCATCTCCAGGAATACTCACTAAGCCAAAAAAATAAAAAACCAAAAGATCAACTGCTTTCTCTGGGTCATTCACTGTATTTAAGAACTAAAATTCCCTCCCTCTCTCTCTCTCTCTCTCTCTCTCTCTCTCTCTCTCTCTCACACACACACACACACACACACACACACACACACACAGCACTCCAGGAGGCCCAGTTCTGGAATTTCACAGTCATTGGCGGGGTGCAAAAACACTGACGGAAGAGAGACACAGGCCTGTGAGAACTGATAATGCTTAGCCCAGACATTCCAGACAGAATCTCCGAAGGCTGTGAGTGTTTAAGTAGACAATGACAGAAATTGGGTAGAACTGGAGAGACAGAGTATCCATTTAGTGAAAAGTGAGCATCCTGCCTGGCCGAAAGCTCAGGGGCTGGATAATGTGACAGAGAGCAATGGTGTCCCAGCCCGCGCTGGCTGCTCAGGCCTGATGGATAGTGCTGGGGTGGCGACCACACATCAGTGTCGCCTTAATAAGTACTGCTGATTAAATGTTGACAGAGCACCCTGCAATTACGGCGATGGCATTCGTCGCAGAGCAAGCTAGCTCTGTGGCTGAGAGGATTGAAATGAACAGCAGATAGTAATTAATTGATAATTTATGAGTAATCCTGATTAAACTGAATTAAAAGCCACCCTAAAATAATACAGCTCAACCTCAACTCCCCTGACTGATATAACTGTGCCCCCAGGAGCCCGGGCCGGTGTCCAGCCTCAGTAGGAGAGGCATTGCCTGACTCTGCTTGTTGCAGCTGACTTGTGCCAACTGAAGAGGGATGACACAAAGACTGACCTCCATATTCAAGTTTTTCCTTGTCCTAAGGCCCATTCAAGGAAGCGATGCCCTCCCTGACACTCACATTTCACCAGCACACAGTGCAGCACTACTTGGCATGTACATATCTCTCGATGACACTGGTGGGCCAGCTGAGGGGTGGACCTGGCACACAAAGTTGGACAACTGATCCAGTGCTTAGGGAAAGCTGGCCACTAGGGGTTTGATAGGTGATCCTGTATTCTGTCTTTTCCAGAAGTTTCCAAGCATCTCCTTAAAAGTGGTCTAAAGACCAGTAGTGATCTGAAGACAGGTCTCTGCTCCCAGGAGCTCAGAATGCAGAGCCTGGAGCTGGCGGGGGACAGACGAGAAGCTGGAACATGTGGAGCGCGTGGAGCGCGCACACCCAGCCAGGTGCGGGATGCTCGCCAGGTGCAGCAGAGGGCCATTTGTTGGGTCAAAGAGGTACGACATGTCCTGGACAGGTAACATTTGAGCCTGCAAATTAGCTTTCAACTTCTGTAAGTGCTTAAACTTTTTGCTAAATCTAATGGAGAGGCCCAGGCCTACCCAGGCCAACAGGGGGCCAACCTGAACTTCTACAGGAAAAACTCCTCCTTCCTCAAGAGACTCTGCTACCAAGAAAAACAGATCCTTAAGCCGATGTTTGCCCCTTTCCCTCACACTTCACAAATGCCAGGTTTCCCTGAAGTCTACATCATGGACACCAGGGGCCCTGGATCCCAGATGTAGAACCACTGGTTTAGGCAAAGAGGCAAGTCCCGCCAGTCCAGCTTCACTGACATGGCCACCTCAACCCAGGGCTGTCCCTGTCCCAATCCCCGGAACCTATGATTGCCGCCTTATATGGCAAAAGGGATTCTGCAGAGGTGATTAAATAAAGATCTTGAGATAGGAATATTAACCTGCATTATTTGGGGAGGGGGGACCTGCACACCCCCTTCTCTCATCCCTCCAGCATCCCTCCCAGGTGCATCTAACATGGAGAGGAAACCCTGAGCCAAAGTAGACTTGTTGATTACAGTTCTTGATCACATGGTCTCTGAAGCATACTTATGGACTACCAGCCTGACCTTCTCAAGCTCAGGGGCTTGGAGCTCAGTGTGATGTGCCGGGAGGGAGGCCTCTGGTCTCTAGCCTCCTCTCATTGGGCACAAATCAAAGATCTGCGTCTACTCTGTGCATTCACATGGCCCCAGGATCGTCAGTTATCCAGCTTTCTTACAGCTTCATGTAGCTCTCCTCTACTTTCTGAGTCCTTATCCCCATAAGGGAAAAAGGCTACATGTTCTTACTCACAGACAACATCAAACTTTGAAAGTTACAAAAGTCTGCATAAATACAATGCCACGGTTCCTCACTTGGAAATGCAGGAGCACTTAGGCGCTAGAACAGTGGTTCTCAACCTTCCTAATGCCGCAACCCTTTAGTACAGTTCCTCATGTTGTGGTGACTCCCAATTTCATTGTTACAAATTGAACATAATTAAAGCACAGTGATTAATCACAAAACAATATGTAATTATATATGTGTTTTCCAATGGTCTTAGGCGACTTCTGTGAAAGGGTCGTTCGACCCCCAAAGGGGTCGAGATCCACAGGTTAAGAACCGCTGCGCTAGAAAGTGGTAATGACAAAAATGAGGTGGGAGGAAGGAGAAGCAAGATTTGCTAAGGGGAGAAACCAAGATGGCGGCATAGGTAAACACCGGAGATTGCTGCCTCGTACAACCACTTCAAAAATACAACTAAAAGACATAACGGACATCACCCAGAACCACAGGAAGGCTGGCTGAGTGGAATTTCTACAACTAGAAGGAAAGAGAAAAGCATACCG